GATTGGGGAGGTTCCAGCTGAAGGAGTTTGATGGAGAGAACTGCATGTGGGCTGCAGACAGATGAAGAAACGAGGTGGATTTGTTTTCAGAAAGGTGTCCTTTCAGTGAGCCGTTCAAGCCACCAAACCCAGGCGGGCGACCTTGGCAGACAGGAAGGAGTGGAGGATGAAGACGATGGGCTTCGGACACGAGTGGAGGTCCAGTTGCTGCAGGGAGAAGCAGAWATACAGGACTTACAAAAAACAGAATAACACCTGGCATGAAAACAGAAAAAAAAATGTAAAAAAACAAACAAAAATAACTTTCTTTGTATTTTTGATTTCATAGAAATTGTTCAATACTATGACTACATGAAATGTCTTCATTCTACTTTTCTCTGAACGCAACTCAGTAAGTGTTGCCAGATTTGGAAGTTTATTGCACAACTGGGGGGTTTTCATTCAGATTTTGAAGGTAAAACTGGTTTGGGGCATTTTTTGATTTTTTCTATAAAAAAAAAAACACGTCAACCATTTCAAAACCATTCATCAGTATTGGTCTATAGCTATGTGCATTGTTCATCACTGACTGGTTAGAGTCATCTACCAAGGCGTTGACAACAGGACTCAACAGGAAGATGCTGAAGTGGGAAAAATACAAGTGGAGCTACAGAAAAGAGCGACAATGAGCTTAAATTGTGGGTAGTGCCATTTAAAAATAAGAAAAGCAAGGCTCACAGCCAACTGTCTATTCTGCATTAAAAGGTAGAAATTCTAATTGACCAAAGTAACTTAAGTTATTTCAAATGTAGTTATGTAGAAATTAAATTTGCATATTTGTGTGTGCACACTGATCATAGTTTGTGTCTTCTGAATGTGAAAAGAGGAGTAAGTGGCTGCACACGTTAGGAGAGTCATGTGACGCTCACTGGAGCTGGTGTTGCTGTGGTGGCTGGTTCAAAACCATTTAAAAAGGAGCCACATCATACATTTAAATCCTACTTTTTCACATTTAAATCATTCAGTTGGGGTCTACCAAAAGCGGAACTGCAATGCTTTGGTCTGAACTCCTCCTTATTGTAACTCCACAAGCCCCTCTTTCACCCCTTTTCTGAGGCATGTCTCAGATCAACTCGTTTAAAGGCTGTCTCTTTAAATCCAAATGAGCGGTTTACAACTATAAAGTGGCGCAGAAACATTTTATTTACCAGATTAAATGATGTCAACAACAGAAGACTTGTCCATCCAGCCACACATGTTGGAGCCAGAGCCAGAGGAGAATGACGAACAAATTATAATTGGTAAGTTCAGACCTTATTGGCAGTTCCTTTGCAAATAATTTGAAGCAATTGTTCAGACAGTGTAATAAAAAACAAAGAAAACTGAATGAGTTGAAAATTTTGACCCAAACAGCAGGAGAAATCTGCAGTCCTGGAGACTCCAAATTCACAACAAAATGAATTTAATGGCTAAAAAAGTGGATTTTACCTGATATGTCCCCTTTAAGGGGGAGAACTCTGGGTGGGTTTTGTTGAAATTGTAGTTTTTTTTTTTAACTTATTGTTAAATTGCTTGGTACATTGAGATGTGCGTTCATGTAGATGCAGTAAATACTATCCATCCATATTACTCAGTTCAAAAGATTAATATAAATCAGGTGACCCTTTTTACCCAGTTCAGTATAAAACATAAAACTCAGCATGGATGAGGTGGATCCAGAGCTGAGCACTGAGAAAATACCACGTCACAACAGTTCCCTCTCAGCCAGAGTCAACAGTGGCTGATTTCACCAGCACCATGACTCAGAAACTGTTCATAAAGGGAGCTTCAACTTTTTAAAAAAACGACACTTGAACAACTATTTAACTGAGCAGTTTTACGACGTCCAAGTCCTGCCAACACGGTACAAGTGAAACATCGTCTTGACTGCGTCAGTCCTAATGATTCCTGCGAGTGTGGAGCAGACTGGACTCATAAAAAAATCTAAGATCCTGCCAACTTGACAATATGAGGTCTAAAAAAATAAATTATCCAACTGCCTTCCAAACACTGAGCGAATGAGCTCTTTTCAGAGTGTTTCTAAGGCCCTGTCAGAAACTGTGCTGGGATTCAGAAACACCAGACACAAACAGCCAAGAGAAGGTTTGGAATAAAAGCTCACAGATTCTTTGCTTATTTGCTTTCAGGTTGAAGTAGAGACGTCAAAACTCACCGTTTCTGCCTGGGAGAGTCTGAAATTTATTTTGAGATGTTCTTATAAAACAACTAGATTTCAACTAAACTATAGTACGTTTGAAGCAGAGGTGTCCAAAGTGGGGCCCACGGGCCAAAACTGAACTGCCAAGACATTTGATTTGGTGTGCCAACAGCTGCCCTGGTTACTATGTTGTCCTTTGTAGAAACACTAACTCTCTTTAAAGCAATTCTGTTTAATGGACCTGTGACTATATAAGGGGCTGCGGATAGCTTTCACTCATGGTGCTCACTTTATATTTTAATTATAATAAGATTAAATATGAAATACACATAACTACAAGATACAGTTAGATTAGACTGAAGCACAAATGTAGATTTTCACACTGTATTACAGTGCACTGTATTTAATCAATTTACGAAATGTCCCATGAGCCTTTGCTGCCGGGGCGTAAAAAAAAAAAAAAATGTGGGATACAGCACTGGCTGCAAGCTTGATCATAATAAATAAAAGGACTTCACTTTAAAGTATTAGTATTTTCTATGTATTATGTTATTCAATTTAAAAAAACTTTATACAAAATAAATTCTATATACAATAAAAAATGAAAAATATACAAATCATAAGTGAAATGAAATGAAAAGCAGCAGAGAGAAGAAAAAAAAATATAATATCTGTCCCTTTTTTATTATTGCACTTTGTCCGCAACTCTCAGATAAGATTTTCATTTTGGCCCACTCTGGGAAAAATTTGGGCCCCCCTGATTTAGAGTGCCTATTTTAATGTTTATAAGGAACTTTATGTATGAGAATAGAATAGAATAGAATAGAATAGAATAGAATAGAATAGAATAGAATAGAATAGAATAGAAACAGCCTTTATTGTCCCGCGCGAGGAAATTCCGGTGTAGCAGCAGCATGAATCCACAGCATCAATCCACAAAATAGTATGTTGCCATGTAACAATATCAATAGTAGCAACAATAATACAATTAAAGATTAAATATTATAACAATCAAAATAAACATCCATCAAAGTCAAAATAAGAGTGATAATTACAGTACTGGTAGTACTGGTCCATCAAGGAGAAATTAGATAAAAATGAAAGTCCAAAACAAGTATTCTGTGCAGAAAGATACATAATTACAGGAAATAACTGTCATGACTGACTTGTGCAAAAATGATTCAAACGTGGTCTGTGCAAATTGAGTCGAACTCGGGGGTGTGCAAATTATTTCAGACTCATTCATTAAGTCCAGAACAGAACAAAACAGTGAACATTAATTATTATTATTATTGTTTATTGTGTAATGATTACGGGGTAGTGTTGTTTGATGTGCAAACACAAACAGGTACGCTTATGATTGTTGCAATCTGCAGTAGCGTTCTTTTGTGCATTTAGGATGCAGCAGTCTGTCACTGAAGTCTGATTTGATGACATAAAATGAAAATATGATGACATGAAATTATTTTTTGAAAATTTTTTTAATTTGATGACATGAAATGATGACATAAGGGTCATTTAAACAGTTTGAATAAAAAATAATAAGATAGAATTTGTTTGATTTAATGTTAGCATTTCTAAGACTTTGTTCCTCTGCAGACTGAGGCAGCTGGACTTTACTCTGTGAGAAGCTGACCGGTGTGAACAGATTAAAAGTCTTACCATTAGCGACAAGCTATTTTCAGATTAAACCCACACTCTGAAATGCTCCTACACACAAGAAATTGTTAGAAAAGTTTGTTTCATTCTGTAGGTGCTTTATTTTTTCTTTCTAATGAAGTGCTGTAATCTACTTTCTACTGCACTACCTTCCTGTTTTTCTGTCACCAACACTTTGGACCCCAGTTTGTTTCGGGCTTTGTTTCCCCAGATGGTCCACCCAGAACCCCTCGGAGATTAAATTAGTTTTTTTTTTTTTTTTTTTTCGGTTTGCTGCAAGCAAACACAGCAAACTAAGTGAACTACTTGTTGATTAAAAAAATTATGAAACAACAGAAACTTCTCTATTTTCTTCACTGTCTCTTGAAACCATGAGAAAAATAAAGCATTTGACCTGGGATTTAATGTTCAGGTTTATAGTTTATTGTTTTGATTCCTGCTCATATATCATCTTATTGAGCTCCTGTCACTTACAGGTGAAGAACAACATCATTTAAACAGCAACAACAACAACACCATGTTTGGACTTCAGGGCCCCGTAAGCAGGCTTAACAAATCCTGGGTCAACTCAGATACTCTGAATCAACTTAGCCCGCTCTGTGATACTCAGGATTTTTGGTTTCAGAACAGGCGATATCAACTGGGTAACTTAATCCTGAGTCAAGTTACCCTGAGTTAAGTTGGAGCAGAAAGCCCTCATCAATGGAAGTCAGATAACACGATTCACCCTGGCAATGGGAGAAAATAAGAGGACTGGAAGCCCATTTCTCACGCTGGAACTAGAAAAATTAATGACAGCATATGGAGAATATCAATATATATTTAAAAAAAATTAATTAAAAAACAATACTGTTGCTGCTGCAACAGAAAATGAGTTGTGCGACAGATAATTGCTGATTTAGTCAATGTGTAATTTCACAGAAATCTAAACTTTTATTCTTCACAATTATTCAAGTGGATAAAAGTGTGTGTGGGCATTAAATATGTGTTTGTGAACCCAGCTTGTATCAGTGATGCTTCTATCATGATAATGTTAGGATGCGTGTCTAATTAGTGCTTATAGGTGATTAAGTCTGACCTCTATTTACAATAGACTGCAGTAAACTCAATTTAGTGTTTCATCAGAGGATGATGATGAAGAAAGTTTGTCTGCTACAGAGAGGGAGCAGACACAGGTGCATAAGGTGTTCCATAACCATGTAGGTTTAAAGTTTATTTTACTTTTCACGGTGAATCAGAATGACTTGGCTGTGATGGACGATCAGCTGAAGAAGCTGATCGTTGGACTTACCAACTGTATATATAT